AAATAGTTAGTTATAAAAATCATATAATTTGAAGAAACCATTTAAGGGAACAAATGAGGCCTTTATAAATGAATGCCCACGAGGCCATATCGTAACGAGTCCACCCCCTGCCGGCGCGGTTTAAATTTTTTAAAATTATTAAGCCCGAACTAAATTATTTTTATAAAATAGGTCTCGGGCCAGGAATGTTTAATATATTAACTTGTAGTTATAAAGAATATTTGAGCAACCTAATTTAGCTAGTATACTCATGTTCTGAATAAATTTTTTCACTCAAAATAGCGATGGCACACTATTTCTACATAATTATAATTTTTAACTTAAATCTGAATAAATTTTTTCACTCCAAATGGCGATGGTACACTATTTCTACATAATTATAATTTTAAAAATTATTAATCAAAAGTAAATTTTTGCTGAAAAGTCGGCTAGAGCAACTCCTGAGCCAACTCATATGGCTTATTGAGCCAGCTTGTATCTGAGTAATTTTTCTACTCAAAAACTGGCTGAGTTCGGCTTAGCCCTTTTACAACACTAATATTTTATTACGTAAAAACAAAGGTACAATAAGGTAAAAAAAATATATTTAATTAAATCATTCGTTAAAAATTTTTATGCTAATTTTACGTATTTTATATATTAAAAAAAATTTACTTGATGATGTACTTATGCGATAGGTTTTGTTACACAAAGTACATTTTCTATTCCCTTTTCTTGGTGTATCCAAAAAATTTTTTTTGACACAAGGATCATTGGAAGATTTCAGCGGAACCAAACTTTGATCTAATATCTTTTTAAAAAAATATCATTTGTATGATTTATATATGGGTCAGGATTTAATGGTCACTTTAGCTAACTGCAATTAGAGACCTTCATGGGTCGGGCCGGCCAACGGCATTATAAATTTTCTAGAGGGCCTGGGCCGGGATCTAGACCCATGAAGGTCTCTAACTTAAATATAATTTTACCTGAAAATCTTCACCAAATTGAGAATGACTTGAATTTTCAAATGGGGAATCGTATAAAAAAGATAGAATGTCAGATGGAGAGGAATCCATAATAAAAAGTAAAAAAATTTTTTTTAATTTATAAGAGTAAGGAAAAAATATTATATTTTAAAAGTAATAAAAATATTATATTTTTTGAAATAATTTTGACGGGTTTCGTTTTGTTAAACCAAACCTTTAAATTAATAATACCCCCATGTGGGATTAAAAAAAATTTTCTATACCAGCGATAATAAAATGACGGTTTATGGTATGGATAAAAAGGGAAGATTTGAAATGTAATTTTGTTATTTATTAAAAATAAGTCATAAAAAAAATATAAATTGAATAAAATGATTATTTTTTTGTTGACCATTTTTATTTAAAAGAAAGGAAAAAAAGAAATGTGTGTTTTGAGATAAATAGTTACAATAGGTCATATTGAATGGTGATTTGGTTTTTTGCTTTTTTTTAAACATATTTTTTTAAATTTAATTCGAGCCGTGCATGTGTTTGTTTTGTTGTGAGTATACATATAAATTTGATTGTCTTTTTTTTATTTTTTTTAAAAAATATGAAATGAATCCTTTGACTTTGTATTAATTAAAATTTATAATGAAAATAAACAATTCATCAATCTGGATGATTAATATATAATTTAAAAAAATTAATAAATTAATAATTTATTGTGATTTTATTTTTAGTTTATCAAAGATTAACTGTCAATGCAGGGTAAAAGAAACCCCCATTTTTCTCAAAAAAAAAGAAGATATATATATAGAATAATACCACATTACAATTGGCCAAACTACCCCTTCTACCATATATTTTCTTTTAAATTTCTAAAAATCTACTACCACACATTTTTTAAAAAGACAGAAAAAAATGGCTAATTTGTTAGTGAAAAAAAATATCAGATTTTACTTCGATTTTTATTTATTAATGTTGATCTTGATCTTTATATTTATAGATCAATAATTACATCTAAACTTCCTTAAAGATATTCTCTAAAGACTATCATTTATATGTGTGAAGCGGTATTAATAATGTCTAAAAATTAGAAATGACTTATACTCTCATTTTTTATATTTAAATTAGACAGGTTTAAGGTTTTATTTCTTTAAACAAACAATCGTTGCCAAAAATACGTATTTCCTGATGACAACCCCCCATGTATAATATACCTATTAGAGATCTGCAAAGTTAGACCCGGCCCGTACCGGGCTCGAGTCAGGCCCGAACGGGCTTCGGTCCGGGCTCGGGCCTAATTCTATTTAAAATAATCGGGTTCGGGCCGAGCCTAATATTTTAAAAAAATTTGGGCTAGGTCGGGTCGGACCTTGCAAATTTTATTAAATATATCTAAATTTATCAATTTTATATTGAAAATTTTTGATTTAATTTATTGAAACTAAAGGCTATATAACATATGTCTTTTATTTTAAGTAATTATAAAAATTAATTTCTATATTTGAATAAATTCGGGCCAGGTCGGTCCGGCTTTTTTTAAAATAAAATTTTCAGGCCCGGCCAAGATTTTTTTTAAATAAATTATATTTATTTTTGATTTTTATAGCGAATAATAACGATTTCAAATATAGGCTGTTCTAAAAAATACAGCACGGCTTGGGTGTTTTTTTAAAAATTTTCGGGCCCTGGTCGGGTATATTTAAAAAAATCAGGTCTCCGAAAAACATACCAAGAAGTACAACATCTGAAAGTAGATTTAAAGGTTTGATCTTTTGAATATTCATAGGCATTTGACAACAAGCAAGAATGAGATAATTGAAAAATTAGCTCAATCACAACGAAGATTGGATTTTACATTGTAAATATATAACATACAAAATGCAATTATTCCTAAGAAACTTTTTGTGTAAAGGCTCAAAAAATTCAAATTTCTATTTTGGGTCATTTAAGTGATTTTTTACATATAATTTTTTTATAATTCACATTAATTTAAAATTGTGTATTAGAAATAGTTATTAGTCCTGATAAATTTATGCTTGATATTTTTAAAAAACAATAATATTTCTTCAAAATTTATTATCCTCCCCCCTCCAGACCGAATTCCCGCGTACGCGCCTGAGTCGATATATTTGGTATAATATGGGATTCAAATCATATTACTTATATTTAAAGAGCAATAACTATTGTTCTAGTAATCTTCAGTTTAAGATTCTAAAAATATTAGCTATAGGGTTGTTAAACGGCTCGATTTGATCCGATTTTTATCACATCCAATATTTTAAGAAAAATATTGTCTAAACCTCTAGATTTTTCTGATAGATGTTTAAATTAAAGGTCAGCAACAGGCGAGTTATCTCATGCCAGCTTATGCCCGGCTATAAAAAATTATTTTAAATATTTTAACATCCTTACAATATATTTTTTTAACTATTTAATTTAAAAAAATTCGAAAAAACTTAAAAATGACGATTATGACAATTCACTGAAAATTTTATTTAACATGTTTACAATATTTATTTTTACCTATTTGCTTCAAAAAAATTCGAAAATACTTAAAGATGACGATTATGACAATTGTCACTTTTCTAAGGTACATATTCACTGAAAATTTAATTTAACATGTTTACAATATTTATTTTTACCTATTTGCTTCAAAAAAATTCGAAAAAATTTAAAGATGACGATTATGACAAATTTTAACGCAAGCCGACCCAGCAAACCGACCCATCAAGCCGACCCAGCAAGCCGACCCAACAAGTTGACCCAACAAGCCGACCCAGCAAGCCGACCCAACAAGCCGACCCAGCAAGCCGACCCAACAAGCCGACCCAGCAAGCCGACCCAACAAGCCGACCCAGCAAGCCGACCAAATGGGTCGGCTCAACAGGCCCATTGGGTCGGGTTGGGTCGTGGTCGATTTTTCAACCCTGGCTCAGGGTTGAGCAGATTTCTACGACTTCGGCTCGGGTTGTGGGTCGTAAAAAACCAACCATTTAACAACACTACTAAATAGCAAGTATCATAATAGCCAAAAATGTGAATATTCACAATAATGTTCACAAAAATATTCACAAAAATGGCCGCCATATTTTTGATATGATTCCAACGGTAGCTGATAACCTTAAAAATTATCTTAAATATAAACAACTTGAAATAAAAGTAATAAACCATTTTATATATTTATTATTTTTGTTTTCAGCAAACACAGAAGAAAAAGGACTATATATGCTACCAAGGGCATGAATATTTGGCCCATACAAGTGGTAAAAAGGCCGTTTACCTTACTTGTCGCAAAAGATGTGGTGGTAGAGCCAAATTAATGATTGGTCTCGATTTAATTATCACCATCCAACATTCTTTAGAATGTCAAAACTTGGTAGCACCCATAACTCCTAATGCTAACCAAGGTAATTATTTTTATATTATTTTACCATTAAATCAATGTTTTAACATTAGCCTCTACTACCAATCAACATTCTTTAGAACAAAACTTAGTAGTTTCCATAACTTCTGATCCTAACCAAGGTAATTATTTTTATATTATTTTACCACTAAATCAATGTTTTAACATTAGCCTCTACTACCAATCAACATTCTTTAGAACAAAATTTAGTAGTTTCCATAACTCCTGATCCTAACCAAGGTAATTATTTTTATATTATTTTACCACTAAATCAATGTTTTAACATTAGCCTCTACTACCAATCAACATTCTTTAGAACAAAACTTAGTAGTTTCCATAACTCCTGATCCTAACCAAGGTAATTATTTTTATATTATTTTACCATTAAATCAATGTTTTAACATTAGCCTCTACTACCAATCAACATTTTTTAGAACAAAACTTAGTAGTTTCCATAACTCCTGATCCTAACCAAGGTAATTATTTTTATATTATTTTACCATTAAATCAATGTTTTAACATTAGCCTCTACTACCAATCAACATTTTTTAGAACTAAATTTAGTAGTTTCCATAACTCCTGATCCTAACCAAGGTAATTATTTTTATATTATTTTATCATTAAATCAATGTTTTAACATTAGCCTCTACTACCAATCAACATTCTTTAGAACAAAATTTAGTAGTTTCCATAACTCCTGATCCTAACCAAGGTAATTATTTTTATATTATTTTACCATTAAATCAATGTTTTAACATTAGCTTCTACTACCAATCAACATTCTTTAGAACAAAACTTAGTAGTTTCCATAACTCCTGATCCTAACCAAGGTAATTATTTTTATATTATTAACATAAATTTCAAATTTTACAGTAGCCCCTCAAACTTCTGGTTTTGCCATAGCCTTTCAAACTTTTATCTCAAATCAAAATAATTCAGGTGCTTATCATGTTATTAATTCAGATGTTGGAATTGAAAGTATTCAATACACAAATTGACAATTACTAAATTATATTTATAGGTAATGGTGATCTCCCTTTAGAAGTAGCCAATGTGTTAATAGATTTACATCAAAATATTAGTGGTAAAAATATGTTTATAAGGCTATTTTTTTAAGTTTATTTTAAAAAAAATTAAATACAGAATGTGACATATTAAGTAACCCTTGATGTATAATATAGCTAGGCTATTTTTTAATTATATTTAGGCATGACCTTGGAATAATTAAAAAAATATTACATCTTTTTTAAAGATAAATAATAAATCAATAATTATTTATTTGCTTTATTTATTTTTTTAAGTATCTGGTTCTGTCTGATTAAATATTAGAACTCCATATTAATCATATTAATATATGATTTTTATATTTATTAAGATCCTCAATTTATAAAATCTCAAAAAGGAAAACTGCTTCTCTTTTTCCAAAATTATTTATATCGATATGCTTATCAAAAAGATGATAGAATACACTATCGTTGCAGAAAGGTTGGCTGCAAGGCTTCATGTAAATTTGTTGGAATTTACACAACTTCTGGTTTACATGAACACCAAAATAAAATCGGTCAGTTTGAAAAACTGAGAACTCACAAGGTTCTAGAGGATATTGTTGCCGAAAATCCTCTAGAGACAAGGCACAATATTTATGAAAGGCCTTGAATAAAAGATGCCTGGAAACGCCCTCCATCGAAATGTATCCAGAGGCAATGCCCTCATTTGTTTCAATTAAGAGTACAATTGACAGATTGTTACAAAAAAATCTGCCCACTTTGCCTCAGTCTGTGGATGAACTAGTATTATTACCAGAATACATCACCACAAATAAGGGGGATATTTTTTTAATTAATAATGATAATAATAATAATATGCTGGCGTTTGGTACATGTGAAATGCTAAAACTTGTAGAAATATGTGATGGTGATAGCATTTACATGGACGGCACCTTTTATGTCGTTCCTCGACTGTACTGTCAATTGTATAGTATCCATATAATGTATCAAGAAGTTATGATACCGATTATATATGCCCTCCTCCCCGATAAAAATAGAGGGACATATATTGAATTATTTCAAATTATCTTGCAATTTTGCTCGATGAAAAATATCCTTCAATCCTCGATTTGGACAAACTGATTACGAGGCCGCAGCTATATCGGCGCTTAGGTTTGTTTTTCCCAATATGTCCATAAAAGGTTTATTTATAACATTGTATATTATAATTAAAAAAATTTAGGCTGTTTTTTTCACTATTCCCAGGCTCTTTGGCGTAAATGTCAGGCGCTGGGTTTAGTTAGCGGTTATTTGCACAATACTACCATTCATCAAGTTGTTAGACGAATGACCACTTTGCCATTTGCAAAGAAGAACATATTTCCGAGGTACGGGCATCATGCCATGCTCTGTCTGCTGAATATCCTTTGCTCAAAAATTTTATGGAGTATATGGATTTTACATGGCTCGGAGTTAATGCCATATTCCCCCGAAATATATGGACCAGGTAATTAAAACATTTAAATATTAACTTTACTTATAATCAATTTAGGTATCAAGTTGACGGCCCTAGAACAAACAACCACCTGGAGGGGTATCATCATGCCCTCAAGAGAAAAACAAACGTGGCTCACCCGAATATTTATTGTCTGATAAATATTTTAAAAAGACATCAATATTCGAGTGAGCTTAAGATTTTACAAATTAATAGTGGGTTAAACGTGAGAAGAAAAAATAAAAAATATGATCAATTAAATATTAACATTGATAATCTAACTCGTATATACGAGCGTACAAATGAAATATATCCTTTTTTAGATAATGTTTCATATTTTATAAAACAACAATCATAACTCGTATTTATTTATATTTCTTTTATATATTTACATTTTTATTATTCTCTTGCTATATATGGTATACTTTATTTACATTTTTATAATTATTTTGTATAATAATGTAACTTTAATATAAAAATTTATAAATATTTTTTTTATCGCGCATATTGTATACATATTTCAGTAATAAAAATACTTATTTAGTAGATGCTTTGACCTAAAATTGTTGCTTATAGATGGCAATGACATATAATAATACATAAACTGATGATTCATTCATTAAACCTTACTTTAAAATGTATAGTCGTAACATTATGTAAATATATTTTTAACTGCTTGTCAAAATTTTGATAAAATACGAATCCTTTGGGTGAAAATAATTTTTTATAAAAAGAAAGACCAAAGCATTTAAAAGAGTTTTTTATTCTGCCAAAATATTGTAAAAATTATAGAATCTTTATAAAATTCTAGTGACTCACAGGATTGTTTAACACACATGTTCAAGTGGTGTCTTATGATTCTTTTCCGATTTGGGTTGATTTAAAAAAATATTTTTTTGTGAGTGTTTATTTAGTCTTCATTTTTCTAATAAATTATATCAGCGTCTACCTCTACATGATAGAAAAAACCCTAACTCCACCCAAAAAAGATTTTTTACTGCCTATCCCCAAGAAGCATACACTCTAATTCTGAAATAAAAATAATATATATTTATACTATTTTTAAAAAATTACTATTATTTTTACTACCTTAAAAAATTACATGAGTGAAGCAAATTTAATATTATCTATTTTTTAAAATAAATAAGGATAAAATAAATAATATGTGTTGGGGAAGTAAATAAAAAAATGCCTATTTTTTAAATAAATAAAAGAGGTTGAGAATATTTTTATATTATATTTTTATCTGTGTCTAATAATTGCAAATTGTATTATTGAAAATTTATTAAAAATGATTTAATTTAAAAATTTTTGAAGTGAAGCAATGGATTATTAATAGGAAGATAAAAACCAAAAGGATTAATATGAAAAATATGAATGGCTCACTGGATGTGGATTTTCTATATCCCTATATTGTTGCTCGCCTATTATTCTTGAAGGAAAAATATGTTTGGATATGAATAATTTTTTAAAGGCAGTTTTACAGCATGAAGAATCAACCGCTTATTTGAAGTCGATAATTCTATTAAAATCATTTGCCAAAAATTGAATTAAAAATATGATAGATTCCAGGCGCAAAATATGAAACGAAATTTTACTCAAAAACAAGGACGAATTCTGCTTATTTATAAATTTTAATTTTTTGTATGGTTAGACTTATAAAAAGAAAAAATGATTTTCTATTGCTTCCCTGGTAGTATTTGATGCTTCGTCACTGTCTGAAGATTTTGCGTATAGATGGCAAGTAGTTTGAATGAAACAAGTATTTTTAAAATGCCTTCCACAAATAATACTATATTTATTAGGCATAAAATTTTTTCTATTTATAGCATGTAACCATTTTTCCAATAATTCTTTGGATTTTAATAGAAATCTATATTTAAAAATAGGTGAATAATAATGAGTAAAATATAAGATATATTTATGACATTGATACAAAGATAGATAGTATATAACAATCAATATTAATATCAGATCAGTTATTAGTAATATAGTATTGAATCAGTGAAAATTTGTTGATTGGCAGAGCCTCTATTAATATATATATGGTTTACATATTTCTTACAAATATTTAAAAATGAAACTGTATCATAGTAAATATGTATTTTAAAAATGGCTAACTTAATATTTTATCCAGAAAAATATTTAGGCAAAGTTCAAAATAGAAATCTTATCAACTCAAGAGGAAGAAGCATTATTTGTCCTAGCAGTAAAAATGAGAAAACTTTATATTTTTACTAAATAAGGATTTTTTTTCAATGTTTGTAGCTTATTAATGCTTTATGTAATAAATATGTTGCATATAAAAAATAATATATATACTTATGATAAGAAATATGTGTATTAGATTCCATTTTATTTGTTTTATTACAATTATGAACACAGCACACTCCCATTATCTAAATAAAATAATAAATGATAGTGATATTAAAAGATCTGTTTTGCATGTATCCTAAGATGCATTAACATAAGATTTATAAATCCGTGCAGAATTAAGTTAAACTATATTTTAAAAAATTAAAAGGTGGGTTAGTCTTAGATTCATTTTTTAAATATAATCACCTAGTCCACATTCATAAAAAAAGTCTTATGAAAATTTAAGAATAAAAGATACTATAAAATATTATATCATAAATCGAAACCTTTAAAACTAAATTATCGTAGTAGACTTGTTTTCTATATATTAATATTTCTTGCTGACAAATAATGGATAACCAAACTACAAAATGGCGCTACAGCTGATTACAATGTGTGGACACTTTTATAATGCATTGAATGAATGAATCGTCAATCTATAGTTATATATAGCATTGGAGCCAGATGAAAATGGTAAAGATTTTTTCAAAATCACATTTTTTTTATAAAGTAAAAAAAATTTTAGATACAAAGGTTAATATTTAATATCATTATAATTATTTTAAATGTTTTTATTATAATGTATTGCCTTTAGATATTGGTTCCCTAAATATTCAGCTTGAAGATGTAAATTTCCCACTTCATACAGATTTTATCGATCCAAAGTCTCCCATAGGTAATGTTATTTTTGATATATATTCAAATTATTTTTTGAATGTTATGATAATTTTTTAAAAATATTTTTATAAGCAGCACATCTGTGTGAAGATATATGTAATACATTTCCTTTTGACAATGGTTCCCAGAATGTTGGCTTTAAAGATAAAATTTTCCACTTGATATAGATTTTATAGATCCAAAGTCTCTCATATAGGTAATGTTATTTCTGGTATGTATTTGATTTATTTTTTAATTATTTATGTATACAGAATTGGATGATGATATTATGATAATAAATAAATTAGAAAATATCCCTAGATATTTTTTTCCTACAACAAAAGCATGGAAAAAATATGCCAAAATATATGCTCTAAAACCTCCCAAACATTGTTGGGATGTAGACTATGGTAAACAACTTGGTGAATCAACTATCTTGGGGCAAATTGAAGGTGATGGGAATTGTTTTTATAGGTTGAACATATTAATATAAAATTTCTCATTCTACTTTATTAAATTTCATTTTATTCTACTTTATAAAATTTAGGGCTATTAGTGTGATCACAGGGGCTCAAAATTCCCATATTATTCTCAGGCAATGGTTAATTTATGCTAACATTTGAGATGGAAAAAGTAATTAAGAATTACTGACACAAATAAAAAAACGTATATCGTTATTGGCTCAAATAATTTAATAAAATTCAAGGTAAATTAATATTTTTAATAAAATTCAAGGTAATTTAATATTTTTAAATAAAACTATGATATTTTAAATAGAATCACCACACTATGGCTTTATATCAAAATGCTATATTTCAATCTATAGATAATTTAGAAAATTCAATAGCTATTTATGAAAAGGAAAACTTAATAAATATATCCATTTATAAATCTGAATTATTGAAGTTAAATTATTTGAGCCAAACTTGTATATTGAATAATTTGATATCAGAATCAGTGGTGAATCTATTAAAAATATTATAATTTTATTTAAAAATATCACAATTTTAATATTTAAAATTAGGTGATACACAAATAAAAAATTTGGGCAATTGTCAGACAACTCATAGTAACTTAAAAAAATTAATATTAATGTATTTATTTTTCTCAGAAAAGTTATATAAACCTTTTACAACTTTATCAAAAGAAAAAAAGGCTGAATGGATCATAAATAAATTATGTAAACAGTCTTCATTCAATAAAGTTTGTAATATTAGTTGTTAAATTCTGATGACATTAGTACCAAAAAAAAATGATATGCAATCTTTAAAAAATGATGATGTGGATTTTAAAATAATAAAATCTTATTTCACAAATGATGCGTGGGAAAAGATTCTGGAATTAAATGAGAAGATTATGGCAGAGCCATGGATTTGTCAAAAATGTTATATTGCTTTAGATGATGATGCCTCCATATCATGTGATTTTTGCTTGTCCTGGTTTCATTTTAAATGTCAAAAAATTTAAAAAAAACCATATAAAACTTATTGGTATTGTTTAAATTGTTAAATTTATTTTTATTCGCATTTTATATTTTAATTTTTAAATGATTATAATTATTAATGTATTACAGTTGTAAATGAAATTTTATTCGCATTTTATATTTTAATTATTAAATGATTATAATTATTTATGTATTTATTAGATTTACAGTTGTAAATGAAATTTTATGAATAAAATAATTTCAATTGAATTTGTTGACTTGATTTTATCTCTTTTTTTTATTTGATTTATGTTAGAATTAAAGCAAAATAAAGCTTTTTTGAAGGATAATAACACTTTTTCCTACTAAATAATTATTTATAGTAATTTTAATTTCTTTTATATTCATTAATTTAACTGAAATATAATTTTAGAGCACTTTATTAATTCTAATTTATTATTAAAGCCAAATTTCAAAAATTTTTGCCTAAAAAACTTGAAACAATTAGAGTAATATAAGAGTAGGAATAATTTTTAATTATAAATGAAAGATCTATATTTTTATTAGAATATCAGCTAACCCTGACACACTTTTAGGTATTTGTCTATCTTTAAAAATAAAATAGAGAATCTACTGAAGATTTGATATAAGGAAGAATTTAGATCCCAAATAATATAAATGTAGGAAAAATTTGAAATTATAAGTGAAGTATCATATTTTTATTAGAATAATATCAGCTAACCCTGACACACTTTTAGGTATGTATCTATCTTTAAAAATAAAATAAAGAATCTACTGAAGATTTGATATAAGGAAGAATTTAGATCCCAAATAATATAAATGTAGGAAAAATTTTAAATTATAAGTGAAGGATCATATTTTTATTAGAATAATATCAGCTATTTATTTTAAACCATGAAACACTTTTAGGTATGTATCTAATATTTAAAGATAAAAAGTAATTAGAAGATTTGATATTATAAGGAATTCATAGAAGAATTTTAGTTAGATCCCAATTCATAAGGTGTTATATATTATTAATTTTTATTATAGCATATTTTTTGTCATTATCTTTATTTATATTTGAAATTAGGATGCAACTATCCGTGATTATATTTGCCATCTAAAAGATTGTCAATAGCATCAAATATATTTGCAACTGGGTTACACCTATATTCGGCCTATTTCATACCAAAGAGTGGGGGTGATATGGTTCCAATGATATATATAACATAGATCGGCGATTCATTCATTAAATGCATGATAAAAATGTCCTCACATTGCAATCAGCTGTAGCGCCATTTTGTAGTTTGGATATCCATTATTTGTCAGCATGAAATATTAATACATATATAATATTGCCAAAACTAGTCTACGAAGATAATTTTTTGAAAAGTTTTCATTTATGATATATTATTTTTCTTATATTCTATTAAAACGCAAATAGATTTTGAAAAACACAAAGGATATCATGGCTATGTTGATTTAGGTGATGGGACAAAATCAACAAAAGAAGATGAATCATGTCCAGAAGCAACAAAGGCCCTATTTCTTATGGCAACCTGTATTAATAGCAGCTGGAAAATGCCAATAGCCTATTTTCTAGTTGTAAAAATAAATCCAGATATCCTAGCTAATTTAGTGATAGATGCATTGCTCAATTTAAATGAAACTGGAGGAATATGCAAAGCCATTGTATGCGACGGGTGTGCTGTTAATAAAAAAATGGGTAAATTGCTTGGCGTTAGTATGGATCCTGATAATATTATTCCATATATTGAGCAGGAAAGCCATGACTCGGAAAAAATATATGTATAAGGAATGACCAGATATTAGGCATATTATAAAAATTATGATCTTATATATTATCTATGCTAATTAATTATATTAATTTTTTATAGGTGATGATATAATCAAAAATGACGAAAATGTACTCAAAAATAATATAAAAGTGAACTGTTGCAATATCTTTTCCTTTTCAAGGCCTATACATTTATATCATTATATACTTATTAAATATACTTTATTAAATAAATAATTTATATAATATAATTTATACTCAAGCAAAAAATAATATTATTACATTGTGTATTTATTGAAAAAAAAATAAAAGATATTTTTTTATTTGTCATTTATAATTAAGAGGAAATAATCAAAACAAAACAAATGATCAACTATGAAGAGAATCTTAATAGTATATACTTTTGGAGTTATCTTTAGTTCTTCCTTTATAATAAAATTAATAATACAAAATAAAAAAATTAACAGCACCTATTTCTCTTATTAGTAACAAAATTTGTAGATTTTATCTATACAGGTCTATTTTTTACATAAACTTATGAGTGATTATTGTTTTAAGTTATAAGCCACTATATTACATAAAATTATAAAAGTACCAACTACTACAATAAATATAGGTGAATCTATGATATTTATTATTAAGACAGGAATCATAAAAGATTATATGTGTAAAATATAAAAATAATATATTTATTATTTTTAATTAAAAGCTTCTATAAATGAACAACATGTGTGTGTAACAAGATTTTTATTGAAATATCAAGTGAATTTGATAAAACTATAAAAGCTAATATTCTTGGAAATGATTGGTGGTATTGTGGCTTTTTATATATGTATATCTTGAGTCTTATATTTTAGATTAAATCATCAGTTGAGGTGAGAATTTATTTTGTATTGATATAGATAATTTAAAAATAATGATCGAGGCATTTGATCCATATGGGTTAAAGGAATCTGGGTGGTAAGGTTAATTGGAGATTATTTGGTGAATTTTTTGAGAGTATAATAGATAGAGGTATGGAATATTTTGCATGAAGGGTGGTATTGTGGCTTTTTAAATATGTATATCTTGAGTCTTATATTTTCGATTACTAATAAAAAGAATTGAAGAACTTGCTAAAATCATGAGTTGAGGTGAGAATTTATTTTGTATTGATATAGAGAATTTAAATATATAATAATAATAATGATGAGGCATTTGATCAACGTTCAAGCTACAAAATGGCGCTACAGCTGATCGCAATGTGAGGACGTTTTTAATGAATGAATCGCCAATCTATGTTATATATCATTGATTTACCCACTACAAATAATCATTTAGGCCGTGACTGCATATAACACCTGTGATATTTAGTGAAAAAACTAAACATAACACCTGTGATATTTAGTGAAAAAACTAAACATAAAACCTGCTATATTTTTTTAGTGAATAAATTAAATATCACACCTGCTATATTTTAATTTTTTAATACACTTCGTATATTTAAAATATTAAAGGATGTTTTTAATTCTTCCAATTTTTATTAAATATAATTTTTATTTACTTGAGCTATTAAGGTAACATTTTATATTAATAATCTAAATATTACTGTAGATCCCTATAATTTGTATTGAAGTCTTAAGGAGTAATAATGAAGAGGAATATAAGATGAACTTAGCCATATTTTCAAATATCAATATCATTAAAAATTTTTTTAGCTGAATTCTGAAAATATAACGATGACATAAATTTAGGAATCTTGTAAGAATTAGGAAATAACTAATATAACGTAAAGATACACCTTTTTTAAAGGTTACAATGACATTCAAGAAGACCTACTTAATAACCAAAGCTTAATATACACAACACAATCCCTTATAGCAAACAATTCAAATTTACAAACTGCTCATTAAAAAATATGAATATAGGTTTATAAATAGTTTATATATGAATATAAATACTTTGATATGTATATGGGTTTATCAAAGCTATATGAATAAATACTTTTTTGATTATGCCCATTAATTGTAACCATATTTAATATGAAAAATATAAATAAAGACTCCTAAAAATATACTCACAAGTTTTATATGGTACAATTTTTTAATGTATTTTGACATAAAATTTATTTTTAGTTTTATAATCTGCAAATTAAAAAATAATTTGAACCCAATTTTTTTTAAAACACCCTTATTTAATCAAAAAATATTAATTTATAAAATTTTAATTGCCTTGTCCTAATCTCAGACTCATATTTTTTTTAATACTTTTGTTTTGCCCATTTCTTTTTGTCTATTAGCCTATAGACGTTTAAGTAACAGTTCTCTGTTGCGCGTACAAGTACGTGCGGCTTGCCCACAAACGTGTGAAGGGCTCTTCATTTTTCTCCCCTTAATTAACTATCCAGTTTGATGGATTTTTGAGGAAAACCTAGCGTAGCTCTGTTGTATCCACAACCAGAGGACGAAAACGCTTTTATCACGTATCACGTAATAAATAAGAATTAAAAACATTTTTTTATATTTATCTGGTTTCTTAAATTATAAGCCTCCTACAACTACAACTTTTAAGGCAAATCTTTTTTGTTCAAATTTTATTTATTATACATGGATAAATACTGATATTTGTATTTAATAACTATGACCAATAGTCAAATCTTCTAATATTTAATATTATATTGTTCTAACTGACAAGAAAATTATTCTTTACCTTTCATAAAATAATTTAAAATGATAAATACAGGAAAAAAAATACATAATCCTTTATAGCATGGAGGGGTGAGGGGCTATACATACTCTAGTTGTATAAAAAAATATTATTACCTATTTTTTTTGTATAAATTTTAGCTTAATATTTGTAGGTAAAGTGTATATCTGCAAAATAATTTTTAATTTTGTTTGATTATTCAGCATTTATAGTGGTGTAGCTTGGGATTGCATAGACCCCACCTAATTATGCCTATTATGTGGGTTTTCCACCTGATATTAAGATTTAAGCAATTTTTTTTTTTAATAAATTGGTTGATTGACTAATACTTGTATAAATAAATAATATATTATTTACATGATAGGTTACAAATATACTTTTATGCACAAATACAATTAGTTGACTAGATAATACTTTTTATTTAAATATAAAAAATGCCTCGGGCATATATATTTATAAATGATTTGATAATATTATTTACAGGATAAAACTATACTATAATGATAATTTAAATTTCTTATATAGATACAACCAATAAATTTATTTATTTCAGGAATAATAAATAATGGATGAAATAAAAGCCATTTGTCATTATAAAAAATGAAGATGTTTGTTTGAAGCAATGTAGCTGCACAGGAAATCTCAATATCTGTGGCCCACGTGCCATTGCAATCCATTTTGTTTTTCACAATGTAATCCATTGTGTTATCAACCCCTATGAATCCGCTAAAGAAATTTATATGTTTTTCTTGAACCACAAAGGATATCATAACACTCCTGATTATTTGATGATATTGCTCATCATTACTGATTTCCTTGCTAAGACATCTAAAATAATATTTAGAATTATAAGTTGTTATTAATAAAATACCCGAAAAAACAGTTTCCATCACCTATAATTGGATCAACCTTATCAGGATCCCCCAAGCTTAATGATTTCTGATTTTGAGTATTTTGCGACACAATCAAAGTCATGCCTAACTTATCAGAATGATATTTTTTCCATTCTGATGTTGTAGGCTGGAAGACAAATGGAATCTTGAGAGATTGATAATTATGAACAAGTTTATTCACTAAAATAAATTATATAATTTAAACTAAAAAATGGAATACGTGTATTTCCCCTCTGTTGCTTATTAAAAGAATATGGACCTTTTTTAATAAATAAAATATATAGTAACTAGTGTATATTACAACCTACCAAAAGCAAATTTTAAAGTTAGGGGTTCAGTGTTGTACCTTTTGTCATATCCAGTCCCATATTGTTTGGTATATTATTACCTAAAATATAAAATTTACTTATATAAATGTAATTTTGTTACTTAAGGACAACAAAATCGGGCTTGACATAGCATATTTAGCAAGAGTATTGCAAGGTTGTGACTTGAACCCCATTTTATTTGGTATTATATTATTACCTTAAATATAAAATTTACTTATATAAATTTAATTTTGTTACTTGAGGACAACAAAATCGGGCCTGACATAGCATTTTTAGCAAGAGTATTGCAAGGTTGTGACTTGAACCCCATTTTATTTGATATTATATTATTACCTTAAATATAAAATTTACTTATATAAATGTAATTTTGTTACTTGAGGACAACAAAATCGGGCCTGACATAGCATTTTTAGCAAGAGTATTGCAAGGTTGTGACTTGAACCCCATTTTATTTGGTATTATATTATTACCTTAAATATAAAATTTACTTATATAAATGTAATTTTGTTACTTGAGGACAATAAAATCGGGCCTGAGATAGCATTTTTAGCAAGAGTATTGCAAGGTTGTGACTTGAACCCCATTTTATTTGGTATTATATTATTACCTTAAATATAAAATTTACTTAAATAAATGTAATTTTGTTACTTGAGGACAACATCGTGCTGGAGATAGCATTTTTAATAAGAGGATTATTATGTTAACTATATTTAATTAATATATATTTATAAATTATATTATGATCATTAAGTTCAATATCAAAATTTAAGCCTCTAAGAAAATTTCTAAAATTTAAACCAGTATACAAAACTTCTTAGTCAAAGTCAGATTCAAAACTTCTTAGTGAAAACTCTAACTATATTTAATTAATACATCTTTATAAATTATATTATGATCATTAAGTTCAATATCAAAATTTAAGCCTCTAAGAAAATTTCTAAAATTTAAACCAGTATACAAAACTTCTTAGTCAAAGTCAGTATAAAACTTCTTAGTAAAAACTCTATCTATATTTAATTAATATATCTTTATAAATTATATTATGATCATTAAGTTCAATATCAAAATTTAAGCCTCTAAGAAAATTTCTAACAATGGCTCCTTTATCTCTTTTTAATAGTTCAAAAATACTTGTTAAGTCATTGGTCTTATAATTTTTGTCTGGACATTATGTATATCTTTAAGTGTCATTTTTTTACCCATTTTCAGAAGAGATTCCTGAATTTTTAGCTTGTTTGCCTTTAGTTTTAACGAATTTTCGACTATTTGCCTTTCTTCCACAGTAAGCATTCTTTGTTTAGGTAAGGATTGGAAAGTAATACTATCTATTTATATGAGTTATATTAATTTA